GGAGATCCAACTTAAGGTTCCCAAAGGCAAAGTCTGAGCTTTCTGCATCTCTACCTGACCCCCAAGAGCTTTCTGAGAGTAAGAGTTGTGGAGAGCAAGCAAAACAGATCCTAGAGCACTGCACTAGGGAATGCTTTTCTCAGCATGCTCTGTGAATCACGGTCTTTCTCTGGGGAAGAGCGAAGGAGTCACATGGGTTTCAGATGAGCCCAGAACCTTGCTTTGCAGAAGTATAGGAAGAAAGAGATTAAGAAAACTAAACCACCACTCTCATGCCCTTGCAGGCTCCACATCCCTCACTGAGAGGGCCTGTGGGTACTTCACTAAGGGTTCAAAGATACCAAGGACCAGATTAAAAACAACAAACAGGGGCCGTGTGATAGTGCAGCAGGTAGGGTTCCTACTGGCTCGGTGCCCGGGAGGTGCTCTCAGCAGGACCCAGGGGGAGTACACACAGCCAGGGATCAAAACCAGGCCTCTGGCAGGCAGAGCATGTGCTCCATCCCTTTGCACTCTCTCCCCCTACCCAGGAGCACTGTTCTCATCCATGTACATTCTCTGTACAACTCAGAAAGTCCAGAAACATGCCTGTAAGCACAGTCTGGGCCAAAGAGAAAGTGTCCATTTGTAGCTCCTAATACCCCCCGACACCAACCCGACCCCCATCCTGCTGCCCAGCTTCTCCAGGGCTGAGCTCCAGATTCATTCCCATGGAATTGCCTCCCAACCCTAAAGAAGAGAGATGGAGGCATAAGGTCAAACATTAACAAGTAACTACTACTCCCATCCTCTGGGGGGATCTGCATGCTTATCTGCAGCCCATGCTGACCTGGGTTTGATCCCTGGCTTCCCATATGGTCCCCCGAGCACTACCAGGAGTAACTCCTGAGTGCAGAGCCAGGACTTAACCCCTGAGCATTGCTGGGTATGACCCAAAAAGAAAAATAAAATGAAAATAAAATCAGCAACGACAAAAAGCCAGAGAGATAAGACAGCAGCTATAGTGATTCCCCTGCATGCAGCTGACCTGGGTTGGAGGCCCAGCATCGCATTTGGTTCCCCCTAGGTACCGCCAGGAATGATCCCTGAGTGCAGAACCAGGAGTCAGCCCAGAGCATAGCCAGGTCTGGCCCCAACACCAAAACACAGCGACAAATATTAAAGTAAGTGTGGGATCAAAGGAAACTAAGCTTATGTGATAAACTGGCATCCGTGGAGAAATTTCTTTGCTGGAGTTGCATCAGGCTGAATCCATTATCTCCCCTACTTTAAACCACTTCTCTGAAATGTTGAGACACTAAAACAGACAACTGAAAGGGCACTTGGTTCTAAGTTTCCATTCCTGGTGGAAAATGTGATGCTGTTTTAACTAGAAGGAAATGACTGGAATAGTCACAGCAGAAGAAAATCTCTGGGGGAACCCTCTGCAAGTAGGAACTGGCTAATGAGATTACAATTATTCTCGACACATCTAGCGTCACTAGCACACGGGCTGAATAATCTCCACTGGGTTTTACCTTAACTAAGGGCAGCTGGGGGGGGAGGGGAAGAGAAAAATGTCACGAGTCCCTAACTCAGAGACTAATGAAATGTCCTTCACAAAGAATGTACTTGGAGATGTGCACAGAGCTGGAACATACTGGAAAGAGACCTTTCATTTCACTCCAATCAGGCCCTATTGTAGCACTTGCCATGCACAAAAAAGGGTGAGTCACAGTGATTATCAAATATATTCCTAGGGGTCAGAGCAATAGTGCATTAGGTAGAGAGTTTGCCTTCCATAAGGCAGACTCAGTTTTAATCCCTGGCGTCCCACATGGTCCCCTGAGCATCACCAGGAGTGATCCCTGAGTGAAGAGCCAGGAGAAGCCCCTGAGCATTGCTGGATGTGGCCCCTGACCAAAATAATATTCTGTAGCCCTTTTTGTTTTTATGTCACATTTCATATGTAATTTATTTCTTCCATCCTCACAACTAGTAAGCCGATAACATCACTACCCTACCCTGCAGTCATGTAATGTACATGCCAATAAACTAGAAGGGCAGACTGCAGAGTTTATCCAGCCCTAGCTTCTCATTGAGCAGACCGAGTTCCGGAAATATTAAATAGTTGTCCCAAGTCTCCTGGCTGGACCCAGACCTCCTGCTCTTTCTCCCTGCAGTATCCCGGCTAGCATCTTTGGCACCTGGAGAGGCCTAGAGAGAAGGAAGCATACAAATTCTAGGAGCTGAGAGACTCGAGCTCGAATCCCAGTGCTCCCTTCTCTGGCTGCAAGGCCTGGGCTGCTGCAGTCTGTGCTCCAGTTTCCTCGCCTCTAAGGCAGTAATCATAAGCACCCTCAAAGTCAAAGTCAGAGTCAGCTTGAAAGGACATGAAGGTCTGCTCCACGGCTTGGAAGCCAGCAGCACATGCTGGGGGAGAAGGCAGCTCAGATAGAGAAGGAAACACCAAGTAAAGGATGTTTGGAGGATTCGCTCAGGATGCGAGATGCGTACTGAAAGTAGACTATAGATCGAATACAATGGCCACTCAATACCTCTATTGCAAACTACAAGACCCTGAAGGAAAGAGAGGGAATGCCCTGCCACAGAGGCGGGGCGGGGTGGAGGGGTGATGGGATGGGGAGTGGGAGGGCTACTGGGATCATTGGTGGTGGAGAATGGGCACTGGTGGAGGGATGGGTATTCGATAATGGTAAAACTGAAATCCAAGCACGAAAGTTTTTAAGTCTACAACTGTACCTCATGGTATTTCACTAATTAAAAAAAAAAAAAACCCGAAAGGACATGAAACCCTAAGTCATTTACTCATGGTGAGGAGCAAGTTCCCGTGTTCCTGGAGAACGTGACAAGAGCACAATCCCAAGGGAGGTGACCCTTTGAGCCACAGGCTATGTTTCTGAGCCAATCTGTGCTGGCAGGATACTTTTTTCTCCGTGAGCAGTTGGCTTCTGAACCAATGTCAAGAAACATCTCATTTTGCTGTCCTTGAGCTCAAAGTTTATATTCACCATCTTTTAGGCAACCCCAAAGAGACATTAAGTCAACAGCAACAGCTAACTACAGAACTCCTACTTAGGGACCTTCTCTAAGCATACTATACAATCTAATTCTCACCAAATAAATTTATACTGTAAGAGAGTTCAAAGATACCTAAGCCAAGAAAATATGAAATTACTAAGTAAAAACATTTAGTCTCGAAAAATACTCAGAAGTTTTGGTTTAGATTGAAATTGCACGCTTGAATAGTACCCAGTCCTGTTCAATCCAATTTCACTCCATTTCCAACACTACTGAATGCCATGAATTCCCATGTTCCCGCTACATAGTATTATTGGCCTTTAAAAAAATACTTTAGGGGCAGGAGAGATAGTACAATGGGTAGAGGCATCCCATATGGTCCCCAGAGTACTGCAAGGAGTAATTCCTGAGTGCAGAGTCAGGAAAAACCCCTGAGCACTGCCAAGTATGGACCAAAAACCAAAAATAAACAAATAAAAATTTAAAAGAACTTTACTGTGGAAATTTGTAAGCAGATGTATGTGAGAAATATAAGGGCTGTCATGCACCTATTACCCAGCTTCAACAACTTCAACACAACATTACTTTTAAAAGGTATTTTTCTCATCCCTGGCCCAAACTCTTCCCACTTTTTCCACTGCAAGGACCCTAATCTTCAACCCCCTTTTCCCTACCCTCTGCTACAAACAGTTCAATTTCATCTTTCCAAAATACCTAGACCTTTGACTCCATATTTGTTCCCTAGTACGGAACTTTTAGCCCTTAATTCAGTTCCTTCTCCCTGGTTGGTCAGTCCAGATCTTCTTCTTGACAGATGAGGAAATTCTGAACTCAATCCAAAAAAACAGAAGGCAAGTCCAAAAACTAGAAGGAAGCCTTGAAGACAAGGATGTGTGGGAAGCACTGTTTCTACGTCTCCGACTTTTCCCATCCTCCTACCCTCTCTACATCACTTTTAAAAAGCATTTTTCTCATCCCTGGCCCATACTCTTCCCAGAAGACTTTTCCCACTGCGGGGTCCCTAATCTTCAATCCCCTTTTCCCTGCCCTCTGCTACAAACAGTTCCATTTCCTCTTTCCAAAAGGCCTAGACCTTTGACTTTACATTTGCTCCCAAGCACACCCCCGGGGAATCTGTGACAGCCCTGGGCACCAGACCTGTCTCAAGCATTTTAAGAGATCTATTCCTTGGGGCTGGAGCAATAGCACAGCGGGTAGGGCTTGTCCGCCTTGCACGCGGACAACCCGGGTTCGATTCCCAGCATCCCATATGGTCCCCTTCCCAGCATCCTATAAGGTCCCTTGAACAGCGCCAGGGGTAATTCCCGAGTGCAGAGCCAGGAGTAACCCCTGTGCATCGCCCGGTGTGACCCAAAAAGCCAAAAAAAAAAAGAGAGAGAGAGAGAGAGAGAGAGAGAGAGAGAGAGAGAGAGAGAGAAAGAGAGAGGTTTATTCCCGTGCTTAACAATCTGTTTATCTGAAGCTCCTAGTAGCCAAAATTTGAACCTCGGGTCCCCCCCCCCCATAAGTTCTAGTACTAGACTGAAACCTGTCCGCTCAAATACTCACCCGCCCAAACCAGAGGTCCCTGCAGCTGAGAGTTCTCCACCCCAAGCTTAAGTTCTCCACCCCAAGCTTAACGCATCTTCCTATTTTCCTCCTCCTCGGGGCCGTCCCATTTATTAAAAGTCCAAAGGATGTTGTAGACAGAACCCGTGATGGAATGGGAAACGCTGGGTTTGCGAGGTCCTGGCTGCTCCATCTGTTCCCCGCGCGCCCGCGTGCATTTCGGGAAAGCTGATATGCCCATCTGTAAAATGGGCGGGGTGAGCACGCCGCGTGGATCCGGCCGCGCCCCCGCGGTCCCCCTCTCCGGGAGGGCCCCGGCCTGTGTGCCAGGGGCCAGCGCCGGGGCCGGGCGCGCGCCCCACTCCCGAGGCTGTGCTGCCCCCCGCAGTCCAGAAACCTCGCATCCTTACCTCCCACTCCCAGGTTGACCTTGCGGGGGTCCGGGTCCTCCCGGAAGTCAGCGGTCAGTTTAAAGACCAGGACCGGCGGAGCCTGCGGGACCTCGGCAAAGACCGACGGAGGCGCCATGGTTCGAGAGGACACGAACGGCTCGGGCCGCTTGCAAAGTGCGCCTGGAGCCGCCCGCTCGGGTCTAGCCGAGGTGGCTGGAGGAGACACTCACCTTCACCTAGCTGGCGGGGGCGGGCCCGCGGGCGCCAATGGCCGGGCCGCGTCCGGAGCTTGGCAACGCGGCGAGCCAATCGCGAGCCTCTGACGCAGGCGGGGCGGGAGGAGGCGGCGCTATTGTCCAATCCAATCAGGAGATCTTATCTGCGCCCCCGGTAATGATGTAACCAATGCAATGGGCGCCGGCCGGGACGGGGGCGGGGCCTCGGGGTAATTGGCAGGTCGTGCACCTATCGCGGGGGCTCTTACTCCTCTGGGGCTTCAGCGCCGCGGGGTGGAGCCCAGCGGCCGAGGTGCACCCGGGGCGGCCTCCTAGACCTGGGCTCCGGGACTCCCGGAGGACCGGCCTTCCTAATCCCCTCAGAGCCCCCGTACGTTCGTGACTCGGTCTGGCCCAGGCTGGCAGCCAAGTCCTCGGCGTCCGCGCACGGGACACTTGTCCTGGGCCAGGACGTGCAGCACCGATGTCCGCGCCGTTGACTTTGACCCTCTTCCCTGCTGGACATGCGGGTATCCCGCCTGCCTTTGATCTCAGACAGTGAGAGTCAGCCTACCCGAAGGACACGGTTCCGTTTTCAGAAGTCCCCTTCTGCCGCGCCTGTTTAGTTTGACGGGTTTGCCCCACTGGTCCCGCGGGAGCTGTAATTAAGATTCTGGCGAGGCCTCCTTTCCCCCTCGCTCTCCTGGCATGCACACCACGAGAAGTTGCTGTCGTCTGCTGGCTGGGGCCCAGGCTGCTACTGCTGCTTTCTGTCTGTCCCCTGATGCTTTCCTCTCCACCTGTTCACTCAGAGCAGTTGCCTCCTTCCGTAACCCTAAGGTCAAATCTTTGCAGCGCTTCTGCGCCCAGTGGTGGGCAATTTTTCCGTTTTAGAAAACGTCCCCAGCCCCCATGCCAAACTAAGGTTTAGATTCTGGTTCTGCCGCTCCCTAGATTGGGCAGGTTTGGGCGAGTGACTTAAGCTCTGGATTCCTGCTGTGTCCTGCTGTGGTTGTGGGGATTCTGTGAGTTAATGCAGCCTAACATGAATTTATATTCAGGCGTGGTTGCATCTAGCAAGCTCTCCCTAAATGTTAACTGTACATATACAATAGTTCTTTGTCCATGGTAAGCTTTATTATTATTATTATTATTAAGAACTGTTCTTGATAGTTGAGTTTTAGGCATATAATATTTCAACACCTATCCCTCCACCAGTGTTCCCATATTCCCTCCCTGCCCCAACCCCCACCTATCACAGTCTGTCAATTTGACAGGCACATGACAAAGTTTCAATGGTTGCAGCTTAGATCAGTTTTGTTGAATCTGTGTTTTGGAGATATGGCTATACCACTCACCCATATCACCGGTATAACCGAAGCCCTGATGCCTGTTCATTCATTAAACATTTTTTTAAAATAGCGTTTAATGTATCCTCCAGATAAACTAACCCCCCCCCCCAACTCCAGTCTCACAATTCCTGTGTTCTGTCAATGATAAGAGAAATCAGTTCTCTTGGTGTTTATGAAGAAAACTCTGCTCATAGAATGCAACACATCTTAAATTGAATATTCCACTCAAAAGAATTGAGGCAAAATAACTTTGTGTGACACCTGCAACCTTCTGCTGCCTTTCAGAAATGCCACCTTCTATTCTGAAGGTGACTTCCGGCAGCGTTTCATTCCCCACACTTCTCCAGGACAGCACATTCAGCCCTGAAGGTGAAATGACAGTGAACTTTCCAAGCTTCCAAAAGCAGAGGCAAAGGACTGGTCTGTAGCTGCCGGGAGAGACCAGAAGGCTGTTCTATAGCTCAGCCTTCCCAGAGCTTTATAAGTCTGATCTTCTCAACACTGACCAAAACTATCAGGGTCACTTCTTATGTCATTCCCTGAAGGGACAAAATAACCCTGGCCAAGTCCAAATAAATCATTATTCACAGCCTACATACCATGATCAAATCAAATGGTACCATCGCCTTTCTCGTCAAGCCATCAGAACATAATGTCTTCTGAAGTTTAGATAGATGGGGGAAGGACGGGTAATATCATGTGGGACCCCAGCCTTGGACACTCTTCCTTAAGAATAGGAATCATCTTGGAGATTGCTTTCCTGGGGACTGAGGGTGAGTTGGCAGCAGCAGGCCACGGTGCTGACGGTGCTGGGGAGCGGGGGTGGATTTATTCCCAGTCAGTCCTCAGAGTTCACTCCCAGGGGTGTTCATGGGACTGTACAGCACTCGGGATCCAACACGGGGCTCCCGCATGCAAAGTATGTGCTCTGCTCATGCCTTTGAGCCATCTCCGTGGCCCTGCTGATTAGGTTTAAGTCAGTTCCCTGGTGTCTTTGAGCCCTGCAAAGGCCAGTCTTGAAATAAACAAAATGCTTCCCAGGCCATTGCTAATTTTAACACTTTGATTCGAATAGGCTCAGCACTGCCTCCCTGCTGAAAGGATAATTTAAGCCAGAGACTCTTAACAGAGAACATTGACCAGACAAGCTGGCAGCCAGGTAAAGTGGGTGTCTTGAGAAAGGGCAGGAAGGGGCAGAAGAAAGAAGAGCTGTTATTCTCTCTGCCTCCTGACTTCATTACGATTTATCCGAGTCCTTCCTACCTTTTCCCTTCTGACTTTTTCCCCTCCTCTACAGAAGTACTGGACTCACACAAGAATCATTGAATTCTTTTAGAATATACACTCAGAAACATGAAAACTTCAGGATGGAGAAAGGTTGTCAGTCTGGGTATCAGTGGGCATTGCATGGACCGCTGAGCCACTCCACACCTGCTCTTTATACCATTTCTTGTCCCCACTTATAAGGTCTCACAAAACTCAGGAGCAAGTCAGGAGAGGGGAGTTGCTCGTTACACTTTGCACTCAAGGGCAAGGGCTTTGGAAAGGTTCTGTTTGGGCATCGACTGTCACCTGGGGTTGTATATTGCTTCAGAAGCTGAGCTGTGTGCTGAACAAATGTTTCTTTCAAAGCCAGAGCTGTAAGAGGAGACCTGTTCAAAGTCACAGAGCTGCTCTGCAGTGGACAGAGAGATAAGGGCTGCTAAGGTGGTGCTGTGCTCTCACTGTACTGAGTCCACTCTTTGTTAAAGTAACTGCCTGTCAACCTCACAAATTCACAGGCTTATTTTCTGGGAGTGCCTGGGATGGGGCCAGCTCCCCTTGCTGCTCCCCTCAATGGCCTCCTCCCTCCCTTGTGTAAGATTCCTTGGGCCACTCTCACTAGCACACATGGATAAGACCAGGGGCTTGTTTCTTGCTGTTTTATTATCTCATGATGGGACTGTCCAGGGAGGCCTAGCTGGACAGAACCTAAGATTAATTCCTAAACCAGGCACCCACATTGGCAAAACCTTTTTCAGAGCAGTTGAGATGTTTGTATGACAGCAATATCAGCAAGACACACAACTGCTGATGTTTGATCTATTTATTGGATAGAATGAGGTTCTAGAGCACCATTTAGAAATTGTCATACTGTGTAGTTTGGGAGCTTTACCTAAGAAGCAAGATAGCATCGTGATTGGAGTCATGACCTCCGGAAGTATATTTCTTTTGTGCACCAGTCTCCTTCATTTGTAATATGGAAATACTCGTAGGTCTAAAAGTTGCCATGAGAATTACATTACTTAATGTAAAGTGTTTTGAATTGTCCTAGTACTTACTTAGTAAGTACTCGATGTGTTAACTGTTACAGCTGTCATCATCACCATCACAGGTGTTTTTATTTGCATTTGATATTTCTCTAGTTTGTTCACTGAATCTCGAGCAACATGGTAGGACAATGCATAGACTTTGCAGTCAAATTCTAGTTCTGCCTCCTAGTAGGTTTATTTGTTTGTTTGTTTGTTTGTTTTTACTGGGGGGAGCACCAAAATAAAAACAAACCAAAAAGAGGTTATTCCTGGCTCTGTACTCAGTGATCACTCTGGGCGGTGCTTGAGAGACCATCTGGGATTCTAGGGATAGAACCCAGGTTGGGCATGTGCAAAGCAAGTTCCCTCCCCACTGTATTATCATTCCAGGCCCTGATTTTTGAACATTTGAGTAAATGACTTGGTATGTCTAAGAAAGACTTTATTCTTTTTTTTTTCTAATATACAATTGGTGGAAAAAAATGTATTTAGAATGAACCAACTGGACTGTTTGGATAATACCAATAATGTTAACAATGTCCAAGGCATCCTAGTCAAGTAGTTAAATGTCAACGGAAATAAGCCTTATTCTCCCCATCATGTCTGAGCAGAGGGCTGACCTTGGCTGGTCCTAGAGTGCTTCACAGCCTGTTGCATCTGGTTCTGCTTGCCTTGACTTTCACAAGGAACACACATGCGCTGTCATCATCTGTCTTCTTTGTGGCTGACTCAGTGATCAGAGGAAGGAAACTTGACAGTGGCTCTGTGGTCAAGCTTGTTTCATTTCTCCTGGATCATTTTTCCAGGGATATTTGTGCTGCCTTCTCAGCCACAGTGTTTGGGTCTTTGAAAGGTAGGTGACTATTGGAAAGAAGATCCTTCAGAATGTGGGTGACAGGGGCTGGAGTGATTGCACAGCAGATAGGGCATTTGCCTTCCACATGGATGACCTGGGTTCGATTCCCAGCATCCCGTATGGTCCCCTGAGCACCGGAAGGAGTAATTCCTGAGTGCAGAGTCAGGAGTAACCCCTGTGTATCACCAGGTATGACCCAAAAAGAAAAAAAAAAAGAATGTGGGTGATATATGGATCTTCATGGTGTGTGTGTGTGTGTGTGTGTGTGTGTGTGTGTGTGTGTGTGAGATAAACCTTTCACTTTTGCTTTCTTGGCTTTCAAAGCCTTTAACTTTAATATGGGCAAGGGCTTTCATCTTGGCTTTCAGCACCATATTAGTGGAAAGTGCTTTTATTCTTAGGTATAATTTGAAACAAACCAACAAAACAAAAAGATTTCTTTGTGTTGTCTGATATAAACACACCTCTTAATATGGTGGTAGAGATTCTTATTATTGCCGTAGAGGTTGCATCCCATTCTTGGGGAGCTGTAGGAC